ATGGAATGGCAACTACTGTCAGTGAATTGTTTCCCATTCCCATTAGATTAGCTTTTCTGGAAGCTGAGGAGAGGAGTGGAGCAGAGCATGCATTCTGCTCATCCCACATGTCTCCTTTCATGCCTGCTGGTGATGGAGAAGGCAGCTGAATTTATTTGCTAAAAACTGAGAGAAGAAGGAGGCCAGACAGAGAGAGGAGTGGGAATCTTACTTTCACACATGAGGTCGTTGTTCATATCAGAGGAAAAAACAAACTCTATGTTTGCTCAGTTCCCTCCTCTGCTTTTCTTAAAGGAATTTCTAAGAATAATTCCCTCTAGTGTGTGGATGAAAGTGTGAAATTCCACGTTACTGGGTCACTTTACACATTAAAAATAATCTCCTGTCACATGGAGTATCAGGAATAGAAATTTGTTTTTCTTTTGTCTTAATTTTCCTTTCTTTCCTCCTATACCACTATTTGGTGTCTAACACGCTGAGCTTATAACCTTACAGAAATTAATTCAAAAACCAGAAGGTTCCCTTTTCCATTGATAGTGACCCACTTTACTGACAAAGCAAGCAATCTCATATAAAATGTCTTTGTTGAGTTGCTGAGAAATATTCCTCATGATGTAGTATTGCTTCATTAAGAAATTTGAAGGAGCATAATTTACTTATATGAGTAAATATATAGGATTATTTGTGGTGGTGAAATTGTGTCATAAGCTGTTTTGGGGGAGAAGAAGCTGACAACACAAATATGAGCAAGTTCGCCATGTAATGCATATGAAAGACAAAGGGCAAAGTGTGTCCAAGAAGCTTGTCTTTTTCTATGTTTTTATTTCCAGCTCTCGCTCTCACCTCACCTGAGGTGAGAGATGCTGCTCAGCCCCAGCGTGAGGGGCTCTGGCTAAATCCTGTGTGCGTGGGGCAGGGCAGGTACCACACATGGAAAACATCTTGTAAATCCTGGAGCTGATGCTCAGACCACCCGTCCCTATAGATCATTGGATTGATATACTTGAAGTCCACTTGACAGGACGTCACAGCAGCAGGATAGATTCATTTCTATTTGTCTGGACTTTCAGTTCTCAAAAAGGATTAAAAAAAAAAAAAAAAGTGTCATCCTCTATAACACTGTATCATTTTCAACTTTTCCTTGGGAGCTATGCTAGGACTCCTGTCTCCAGGGTAACCATGCTAAACTAAGCTGGTGTTCCTGCATTTTTTTCTTTTCCTGAGCCTTGGCTAGGTTTTCCCAGGCAGCTGCTGGTTAAAAGAGTAGCATTTTTTTCCAGCTTACTTGGACAAGCAGCCCTGCTCTTTTCAGGCCCTTAATGAATTCAGGGTTTTCAGAAGTTGCCTCCATGCACCAAGATCTGTCAAGAAAGATGCTCAAAGAAGTGAAAATGCTGGGCACAAACAGCATTCCCCAGCCACTGGTCAGTAATTAGAGCAGGAGTGATTGACCTCTATGTTTACTTAAGCCACCCTTTTCCAAATATGTGGCTTTTCCTTCAAGGTGTTCAAGGCCGGGCTGGATGGAGCTCTGAGCAATCTGTGGCAGATATCTCTACCCAGGGCTGTGAGATGGAAACTGGATTTTCTTTAAAGTCCCTTCCAAATGAAACCACTCCATGATTCTATAAAAATATGCTAATACACAAATATACAGGCTTCTGCTGTGAGCTGCTTTTATCCATAAGGAGTTTCTGGATAAAATACACAAAGAAGGACTCGGATCAGACACAGCACGTGACTGCTGTAAGCGCTCAGCTACAGTCAGAATCTCCTTTTTTGTTCTTTCTGAACAGGAGCCATTTCTGTACTGTGGGTCTGCTTTGGTGCAGAGGCAGAAAAAAGCTCCCCAAAACCAAAAACGCTTCCAGCCTCTCTCATTCAGGAGGGATGGCTTTTAAGGCAAAGCAGCATGAAAATTGAACCCATCTCTTCCCCATCTTGGGCAAACTGCTAAGTACAAACAGGAGGGCAAATAGTCCACTGACAAATTTTAAGCAAGCATACCCTTCTGTAAGCTGGTCCTAAGAGAATAATTCCTATGTTTTTTTCTAGTTCTGCAAATAGCTTTATCGTAGTTTTTTTGTTTGTTTGTTTGTTTTAACTTAGAAATCCCAATAGGAAGCAGTGGACTGTGGCTTCCAAATGTATAAGAAACTGTGAAATGTATATGAAATATGCATATAATGTACATCCAAATGAATAAGAAACATTGAGAAACTGCAAGTATAATCAAGTACTACATCACTCTGTGGTTACATTTTCATGTGCATATAATATAAATCTGGCAGCAGTCAAAATCAATATTAAAACCTGTATATGCAGACCCAAAATTTCAGCCATACATTCTCTTTCATTTCTGTAAACAACCATTTTTAACGTCAAATTTCGCTTTTTGTTTATTTCTAAAGCACCTATAATTGACTTCTTTTTTAAACATTGCTTATTTTAGAATCTTGAAACTCTGACAGCCTTCTGACAAAGGAAATAAATAAATATGCTGCAAATCACCTGTGTCTGTAAAATTTTAATCAAAATATTACCCACCAAGAAACAGAATAATGATTTAGTGACTAAACCACTCAGTGCAGCCTGTTCTAGTGCCGTAGGTACAGAAGGTATCAATTCTTAGCAAATGGGAAGTATTTTATTCTTGTATGAGATTCAAAGTCAGATATACTTTAAATATTAAACAGTTGTTCCAACACAAAGGAGGAATTTAATCCTATTGTCTCGGGTGCATCCCACCAGAATGAAACTTTGCTTTGAAAAACTCTGATAGGAAACCAGTGAATCTGTACTTGTCTCTCAATGATGCCCTAGAAAAAAGCATTTTAATGGCAAATTGAAAGGCAACCAGTGAAAATTAATGGGAGTCTACAAAGCATCTTTTAATTTGAGAATCTGATTCTCCATTATACGTGTAACAGATCAAGAGCACAAATATGTCTTGGCAGGGCACTGAGAGGTTCCAGATGATGGCTTTTATCATCCAATATTTTCACTCCACCCAAAGCACATCAGACACTCAGGGAGCAGCAGGTACCATTCTAGTGGAGCTCTGCCCAGGCACTTGAAGTTGCAGCAGTGTAAGTGCAGTATGCAGCCTGAATCAGAACTTCTGTTTCACAAATGTGTTTTCAGTGCTTTCTGGAGTGTTGTGTTTCAGCCCGTTTCTTGATCTGTTACACTAAGTGCTAAAAATTATGCTGCATTTCCTGGGTTTTGTGTAGGACTGAAAGAAAAGGGGAGGAAGGTTGAGAAAAAATTCCTGTACTAGCTGAATAATATAGTAATTAGCTTCTAGCAACCTGAGAAGAATCGCTTTTTAATTTTGGAATTTCTTTTTATTAGTGGAATAGAATGCATCTATAAACAATCACTTGTTGTTGTTCCTAAAACATTACCCTAGAAATTTTTTTTGTAGTGATAGAAAGAAACTTTCATGCTGTGTGTCCATTTCTTAAAATGATTTGGGCACGAAATTTGAAAATATTATTTACTTATACATCCTCAGTTCAAATTCGTATTTCTTGGGTGTGTTGTAGTAATATGTGAGTCCTCCAAACCTAGATTGTATTTTTTTTTCTATATCTGCAATGTTTGGAGAAAATTTACAGGTGGGAGATTGGCAAAGACAGTACATGTAGTCATCTGCCTGAGGGATGCTGGACTTATGCTTCTGAGCTGGACACAAAACATGGTCTTCCTTCAGTATTAGGACCAACAACACGGATTATTTTGGACCTTAGTAAACATGAGCCAGACTTCAGGATAGGTCTGTGCTGCTGTAGTCAAAGGCCTTAGAGCAGCTGGTGTGAATCACAATGCATTTAAATGAGGTACCTGGGAATGGCAGCAGTGAGGACTTGGACTAGGTACCCTGCACATGCATTTACCCTAATTTCCAGATAAGATTCTGCAGCTATCAGTGAGCTCCAGGTCCGATTACTCTAAATTGTCATTGCAATTGACCAACATGAAGTTAGTAAGGAGTGTGCATCTAACCCATGGTCACGCTTTTGGCTACCATACAGATATAAACTTGTTTAGATCAATCAAAACAACCATTCTGTATCCAAAGATGAGGGATGTTCCCCAAATTAATATTTTGTATGTGTTATTTATATACCAAAAATTACAGTTGTTGACACTACTGAGTCATTTAATTTTACTCTGAGAAAGCCAGCCATGTGTTTGGTCTCACCAGCTTTGAATCTACCCAGAAGTTCAGAACACCTCTGGAGGCTAAAGTTTCTGTGTCTAAGAGCATGTTGCAATATTCAAGGCAGTGAAAACCTGTTCCATGTACTTGAAATGTGGACAATCTATGCTTTAAATGTGTGGGAAGACAAAAAAGACAAGTTCATTAGAAATGTCAGGTGGAATGATTTTGGAAGTTATGCATATCTTCAATGTAATGACCCAAAGTCAAAGATGATTTCTTGGATAGTGTCAGAGTGGCAGTCAGGATGATCATCGTCACTTGCTGGATGCCACACTAATTCTGTATGTCCAAAAAATAAAAGTCCTTAAGAAATGGCTAATTTGGATCCTGCTCCAAATTTGTTGAAAGCCTTTTGATGGATATCGAGGCTCCTCTATAAGCACCACCGAAGCATCTATTTTCTCAGATAAAATATTTCAACTTGCAATGTTTATTTATTAATCTGTTAGCATATCAGAAGATAAATCAGATTTCTTGTCTAGAAAAAGGTTCCATTCCTAAAGAGGATTTAGGCTTTCCACATTATTTCATTCCATGAAAAGCACAAAAAATTTTAATTACTGGAATTAAGGGCAAAACTAAAGAGCTAACCATAAAACATCATTCATTAGTGAGACAAAGTGATGTTTTACATACCAGAATAACAAGGTCCTCTTGATACCATTGTTATCTCTTTCTGGTGCTTGCAAGCAGCTCTCCTGAGGAAGCATTCATTTTGGTAAGTGTCTCCATTTGATCCACAAACTGGAATATAGTTTGTGTGACACTGGAAAAGAAATCATAAAATAACCCAGTTATAGAGAAATCAAGTGATTAATCTCAACTGCATATTAATATCCAGGAAAATAGTTGTGTTATTAACAGCATCTTATAACCCTTTTTGCTAAAGAACAATTTGAAATATATTAGTTTTTCAGTATCACTATATGTATTCCTCTCGGATTGCTGAAATAATAGTCTAACTCCACATGGACTGAACATAGGAATTCAGTAGGAAAGATTAAAAGCACAGAATAACTATGGTGGGACTTGGTACTGGCTAGAGGGAATATGTCAGGCATCTAGAAGTATTTGAAGGATAAACACTGAGGAAGGAGAAAACTTCTTAAAGATAATGCAAGAAAGTATGACTAGGCACAGGGGGATGGAAACTGAGCAAAGGAGAATTTAAGGAGAACAGTGCTTAAGGGGAGATTTGACAAGCTTTTTGGTCAGAATAGTCTTACAAAGGAGATGGAAAACAATCACCATTCTCATTAAATTCAAGAGTGTCATGAGTCTTTTACTTGGTCAACAACTATAATAATGCTTTTCTATTACTACACTGAAAAATTTAAGTCTTAAATTTTGTAGAATTTGATACAAATAAAAAGAAAGAAAGGAAGAAAGGAAAACTTATCATTCAGAATAGCTTTCGTAGAAGATACCTGCATTTTGCTGTTTTCCTATATTCTAACAGAAATGGATTATAAACCCCTTGTACACATAACGTGCATTAAGACGCTGGGATCACCAATCTGCCTAACATTCTAGAGTGCTGCACGACTTCCTGCTGAACTGGAGATCCAAACCCTGCTTCACAGCATGGAGAAAGAGATTTTGACCTGTTTGGGGGTGCATTGATAGCTGTAATGTCAGACACCTTTTGCATCTTCAACACCCCAACGTAAAAAGAACCCAACCAAAACCAAAAGCCAAGAAGTAATGATGAAATACAGAGTAACTACCAAATTTCTTAACCACACAAAGTTTATTATTAAACTGTTATTGTTCAACCCAAGAGACTGCATGCAGAAATAACATTGGTTAAGCTAAAATGACTTAAAAATACAGGAGTTTCTTCTCCAAATTCCAAATGAGAGTCTCTCCCACAACAGTTTCTTCATGCTTTGACATACATAAAGGTCAAAATACTAAAATCTTAAAATATAATTTTGAAGGGTATTACCCTCTAATCCTTTGTCATCCTGCCATAGATGACCAACTGAAAATGAACTAAGCAGGTACGGACAGAAATAAATCATGCTGCCAGCTCTGAAAATGATTTCTAACAGTTTTGTAATACTTTCTTATAGTGAGTAGCTCTCAGACACTCAACCACAGCCATTAGTCCTGTCACATGCTATACTGAACAGTCATTTCTAGAGAGTAATTAACAGGCAACTCCTGAGGGGGACAATACTTTCCAATAGATAATTCTCTGTTCAATAGATAATTCTCATTTCTCCTTAAGTCTCTGTGATGTTTTAAATTTACAGGTCCTGTGCTGAGGATAGAAAATGAAAAGTAAAGGGATTCCTTTTTTACAGTTTGGTAAGCCTTTAGTGATTTGGTACAGCACAGTCCAAAGATCTCCTGTGAGGTCCCTGTAGGAGTAAGATTGTTTTCTTGTGAGGAAATCCTCTAATACCTCAAATGGCCAAAAGGGAGAGCATCTCTTCATGCACAGAATCTGCTTGGCACGGTGTGCCATGGGAAAATCCATCCAAGCTCCATCCAGTGCTGTGTGATCTAGAGTTTCCAACATCTCAATGGGTTGTAAGATTTGCTCACTGTCACTTTGCTCCTTTTCCTATTCTCTCTTACTAAAGCAGTTACTTTATCAAACTGATTGTTGTCAAGTCTTTCTTATTGAGATTGGAAAAGAGCCCCATGATGTCTCTCTCTCCTCACCCCACCTCATCCCATCTTACCTCCTCCAGTGGTTCATAACATACTTGCTAGTTGTTGATCAGTTTTTGCATTCAGGTTTTGTAAAACTCATCCAAAATACAGCAAAAGATCTTTTAGCCTGCAGAGCTCTTGCTGCCATGACATTATAGCTGTTTCAAGAAACACTGAAATTTGTCATAAATTTTCCCTAATCTGAAGAAAGTTTGTGCCAGTCTCGGCCTTAGTTCAGGGGTGGCTGTGATTAGTTGTGCCCCTCTGCTCCCCAAAACACCCCTCTGTCATGCAGACCTCAGTGCAGTAACAACTTCCTTGTGAGGGGAAGAGGAGGGGCAGGCACTGATCTCTTCTCTGTGGTCACCTGTGACAGGGCCCAAGGGAATGGCCTGAAGAAGGGAATCTGGGGAATTTAGGTTGGGTATTAGAAAGAGGTTCCTCACCCAGAGGGTGTTTGGGCACTGGAACAGGCTCCCCAGGGCAGTGGTCACAGCACCAGCCTGACAGAGCTCAAGAAGTGTCTGGACATCACTCTCAGGCACATGGGGTGACTCCTGGGGTGTCCTGTGCAGGGTCAGGAACTGGACTCAATGACCCTTGTGGGTCCCTTTCAACTCAGCATATTCATGGATTCTGTGATTTCCCCTCCAGCAGGAACATCTCACCTGACCACAACCTGGATCCCAGATCAATTTAATTTTGCAACTCTCTTGTTTGGGTACATTTTTTAAAAATTGCCTTTTTAACAACATAAGAAATTACTTGCTGGATCAGACCAGTGGCACAGTTATCCAGCTCTATGATGAATAGGAAACACACTTTGGTAGAACAGGCTGATATTCCCACATCTTCCTTTCAGTGCCTCTTCAGCTGAACCAGTATACACAAATGTGTCTATTTTCCTTTCAAAACCTTGCAATATCAGGAAACAATTAGCTAGCTCTCAGATAGTCTTGAATGTGAAGAACATAGGAGTTTGGGCTGGGGGTTTGTTGCCTGGAAATTTTGGTGCTGCTAGTTGCAGCAAATTGAGTTTTAGAGCTAGTTGCAGGTCAATTAAGTTTGAGAGTTACAGGAAGATTTTCAACCTGCTATGTCTGAAAAACACAGTATCTTCTCCTTACCCATAGACTTCTTTCCTAAGAGCATAGAATAAATTTTTCAAGAAGTATAAGTAAACATGTAAGTAGTTTAAAATCAAGATTTTTTTAAAAAATGCACTCTTCAAAAATAAGTAACAGTGTGTCACATGGACTAGTTCCTTTTTTTGTCTTCAAGACCTGGTTATTAGGAAGATACAAAATTTACCACCTACAGAAAATAAATGAAACCTTTAGTTTTCCTAGGGTTGTATTTACTTTCCTTTTTTGTTTTAATCATTACTGAGTTTGATTTTCCTATGTTGCATAAATGAATGTAACAGACAGACTGAGACAGATGAAAAAGCCTCTTCTCATAAGAATTTTTTCTCCCTTTAAAAGGCAGTTAGAACAATGTCCCCAGCACAGGTGAACAGCACTGTCTCAAAAACCAGCTCTGAAACACTGAAATCTAAACCAGTGTATGACCATATATACAGCATTGCTATTCTGGTTCCTTTTGATTTGTTATTTATTGGAAACAGAACACACAATTATATTTAAAACACCGAAAGACAGCCCACTCCAGGGTTTGCTGATAACACTGCTAGCTCTTCCAGTTTTACCATGAGTCTTGTACATAATATTTGATATATTTGTCCTGGATCTAAACTTTGAAAACTAAAGAACTGCTATATTGCTTTTTCTCTAAAAAAGTTGGTTGCACGAGGGGTAAAGAATTGCCATTATAGTTATAAAAAATGTAAACTAAAGGCTCAAAAACCAACAAAAAATTGAACCTGCTTTTCACTTCTTTTTAAAACTTCAGAAGACTTTTTTTTTTTCCCTGAGCAGAACTAATTCATTGTTCTAATTCATAACCTTTATGATCACTGGTGACCCTGCTATTATTTGATCCAATCAGTACCATTGAAAAAGAGGTTTATGGTTAGAGTCCACAAGCCTGTTGCTGAGTGGACTTTTTGAAGCAGCGACTCTACAAATGCTTCAACACACCTGGAAGATTTGTTAGAAGTGGCAAACAAAAAGGTGAGCAGCCCTTACCTGGAACTGACACGCACATTTCAAGCCATCGCCCTCTTCCTTGCACACTCCTCCGTATTTACACGACGATTCATCACACACTCTTACGTCAGACTCCCTTACATTTAACTCTGCAGAAAGATAGAAAAACGAGACAGAAAAGAAATTGTAAAACAAGTTATTTTGAGGACTGCCTTGTCCTTAAACCCTCTGAGCACCCCCTGCTGCCTTACTCCCATATAGAAATTAAAGGAAAAATGCCAGAGCAGTCCCCCAGGCTGCCTTGCATGGGCTCAGCCCTGCCCTTGGGCTCCCTTCCAGGGGTAGGTCCTGCTCCCCAGAGGCAGCTTTGCTCGGTTGGCAGAGAGGTTGTGGCTAAATGCTGATGCACCACATAAACAGATACAGAGAAAGCATGTGTTTATATACCCACATTCTCTTCCATGTTTCCCCTGATGGGGATGTCACAGTATAAAACTCTTCTCCACAGAAATTGTTTCTAGTAGGAGTCAGGAGCTTTGCACAGGTTATAGCCCGTGTTTCACACCTGCTACCTCTTTTTGCTTTACTCTCCACAAGGGTCCTGAGGAAGTAGAAAAGCTGAGCCATCAGAATTTCTCTGCCTGGTTTTCCAGTCTCTGCCATGGCCAGATTGTTATCCTTCAGACTAAAAATAAACCCAACTGTGTTTAAACTATAATAATTTGCTTGCACTGTAGGAGCCAGAATAATGAACCAGAGATCTGTGTCTTAGTTCCTGCATAAAAATATGGAGCACAAGTGGCAGCTCCTGTCACTGTAAGCTTGCAGCAAGGCACAACCAGCAAGAGGGAAACCAAGGGGCTTTACACACCAACTGCATAGGCACTAGCTCCAGCCAAAGGTCACAACTAGCTTCAAGCTCTTTTTGGATATCACAATCCAAGGCTAGTTTTAAAAGATAATAAATACATTATTTTGAAATAAGTATTTTATTTGAATTATATCTAGGAAAGAGAGCAAAAGAAACCACAAGTGGGATAATGGAAGTGGTCAGTGTTCACCTAAATGTGACCTCATCAGGCTGTGTGGGAACAGTGGTGGCATTATTGATTCCCATGAAAAGGTGAAAATAGCACCAAGGGCTCTGGAAAAATCCCCTGACACTGTTAAGTGTGAAGTGAAATCAGAGGATATCATTCCAAGATGTCTGTGCTGCAGTTCAAGCCAGAAACCTTCAGGAATCTATAGGAAGTATGATCCACTAAAGAGATTCACTGACAGCGCTGTGATTTAAAATAATGTCTGTACCTTTTAATAAGCAAGCCCTATCCAGAAAACTGGCTTAAAGAAAGAACTGAACACCAGCCATTCAGAAATGGGGAAAGGTAGGTCAAAAGCAGAAGAAAATAATCCTCACTGCCACTTAGAGTCTTAAATAGGCAATCAGCCTCCTCCTCACAGCAGTATCAGCACTTTGGTGTGACAGTGATAGACACCTTGGAAAACTGCTCCTATGTGTTTATGTAACATTATACACCCACATATATAGCTTATATAAATAAATAAATAAATAAACTATAATTACTGTAATAAATTTTATAACTTCTGCCACATGCTTCTATATTTAACATAGCATAATTACGTATTTTTTTCATGGCACTGAAGTTACAAGACTACAGCTCAATGGAAAGTCCAGTAATAATCCACATATTTTTTGGTCAAACACGAGAAAAAATTGAAAAACATATTGATTCTTTTCCCTCTATATGTCCATCACTCCCAAAGGCATAAATGAGGAGGGCAATGTCTGTAACAATGGGCAAGATAGGTATCCTGGTTGCCATCACAACCCCGTGCCTGTGTTCTCTAATGTTATCCTTAATGTCGCCGTTTATCAAGCGTGACTGCTGCGTTGTAGGGACCAAGCTAATGTGACACAGAACATCGCAGCTTTTCAATTTAATGTGTTCATAGCTCCCTCTTGAAGGAAATGTGCCTTTCTTTCTCTTCATGAAGATCTGCTCCATGAAGGTGAACAAACTATGAAAATTAATTAAGGGGAAATGATTGTCATATCTGAAAAAAGGGTCTACCTTTAGGTGATACCTTGAGAATATGCAATTCTAAAAGCCACATTTGAGAAAATGAAATTCGAAAAAGGAATAACCATACAGTCAAATTAGAGCAGGCACTGCTTTCAAAACACTTTGTTCATCAGGTCAGGAAAATAATGAGATGTTGATCCCCCCTGCTCAACTCTCAGCTGAGCACGCTGGACTCAGTGCTTTGCAACATCCTACCCCATGCTCCCGACCAGCAGAAGAAACCCCTCGGCACCTGCTATGCCTGCTAGAATTTCTGGGAGTCTACACAATGTCCAGTTGCCTGAGCAGTGTAGTGCAGACTTTGCCTCAATTTTTCCCCCAGTGTGGAGAGGGCACACAAGCATACAGAAAGGAGCCCCTTCACACAGCGGTGGGCAAGGCGCCTCACTTTTTTGCAGAGAGGAAGGATATGGTGGGCTCAGAATAAGAGGCCAGATAGCAATTCAGCATCAAGGCTGAACTCGAGATGTACTTGTTCTTAGCTTAGCTACTGGTCTGCCTGCAAAAGCCAGAGAGAAAGGGAAAAACTTCAGATCGAAGCTATAAGAAAGGATATGAAGATGGGGGTGCAGAATTAGCCCTTGTGAATATCCCTCATTCTAAGAAAAAAAGACTTTTGGGGATTTTTTTTGATTCCACAGGAGGAATTAAGAGGACAGAAAGCACACTGTGCTTTTAATGGTTACTTCATTTTAAGCTGTTTTTCTTTCCACATATATGATAAATACTGATTATAAGCTTTATGGCATTAAATGAACACTGAACAGGAAAGGTCGTGCAGAGACCAGGAGACAGCATGATTTCCCAAAGTTGTACAAAAGACGAGATATCCTGGTGATTGGCACTTGAACATGACAGATGAACTTTATTCTGTGACAGGATGTCACCTAATCCTTTATTCCATTCAGTGGCAAATTCCAGCAGCAGCAAAATCAGGCCTCCAACATGTGCATGATTACATCTGATGGAATCACAAGTACCAGGAAGTGTGGTGGATATAATTACTTCTGCACCCACAGCATTCCATTAAAAAATGAATACATGTGGATGGGTGGATGGTTGTTAATAGAGTGATGTGAGGAGGAACTGTAGATGTCGTGCATGTCTGAAATGTGCTCTCTTTTCAGTGAATTCCCCACAGACAGAGAATTAAAATGGAGTTTCTGCAATTATTTCCAGAATAATGGAATCATCATTGTAAGAACAGATCCATGAGAGGAGCAAGAATGGTTCAGGGTAATTTCTTGCGTGGTTCTTTAATGCTTGTTGTAACTTATTTCCTTGACTTTCAGCAGGTATAAATAAGAGAAAGCCTCAGCACGATTCATTACGCACAGTGAAAATATGCTAGGTAGTAATCCATCAATTCCCAAGAGAAAATATAATTAGTGCAATTAAATCAGGCTTCCAAATTTATGATAAAATTAATCTCCAAAGACTTGAAATGAGGTATTAAAAAATGATTTGCTAGTATCTGTTCAGCCAATACACTTCCTGGTTATGTGAGGCCTGACTGGCACAAAGCAGCTTGCAAAGACCCACAGCAAGGTCTTCCGAGTACGTTTTTTTTCTCTGTTGAAAAGAATTCACTTTGTGAAAATTTGTTACATCACTAAAAATGAGGAAAGCCTTCTCCATTTTGACTCCTTTCAGAGAATGTGAAGTATAGCTCAATACAAGTTGCTGTAGATTGGCTTTTTGCCTGTGACCTCGAAATGCATTGCTCTGAGGCTCTCGTTATAAGGTAAATTACATATGTCAAAATGCTGAACCTGAAGATGAAATCAAATTTGTGGCTTTAAGTACATCAAATATGTTGTTTCCATCTGGATACCTCAAGAATAAAGTAGAATCTAAGGTGGGCAAATCTGTTTGCTTTGCTTTTTCATAACTCATGTTTCTCCTGGGGTTGGCAATAGTACATAGTAATGACGAATGGATATAAGGAACCAAAAAATAACTTTCCCACATGAAAGTGAGCATGTGAATATTGCAGCTGTGCCTGAGAAAAAACTCTCTCTGCCTGCCTGTCGATCTGTTTACTCTTCCTATGGGTGAGATTCCAAACAATAGAGGTGTCAGGACCCCTTGTTGCCTTTTGGTCCTGACCTATGGTTTTGGTAAAAAAGGGAAAGAAATTTCCACCATTTGCATTAGAGGGAAAAGACAAGGCTTTTCTGTCCTCCAAACAGTTTGTTTTTTGTGAAGCCAAGGTTTAAATTAGGATGTACAACCTCTCATGGAGGTCATATATAGACACATACACACAGGCCTGAGACAGTTTGTAAAAAGTCTGTACAGCTTAATAGAACCCCCAAAGTTGTAAGAACGGTTGAGTTGAGTCAACACTGGCTTGGAAAAGGGCTCAGGAGAAATTATGTTGTGTAAGAATACGTTAGAGCACACGAGGTCTACTAGAGATGGTGATGTTATGACTGGATGAGCTCTCAGGACCACAAAACAGAGTCAAAGAAGGCAAAATCTGATGAACAGAAAACCTATAACCAGTTTTGGGAGACAATCTTATGACTCTGGATTGGCTTGGGCAAATCACTGGCTTTCTTTTCCGTTTTGCCAAATTATTCATAAATGAATGGAGAATTTAATGGGGGAGAAAAAGCACCCAACAAAATCTTTCCCGTATAAAGGGAATTATAAAGCTGAGGTGCTCACATGACAAGTACAGTAATAACCTGAGTCTTAAATCAAACTCTTGAATAAACCTTTACCTGCCAGTCACAACCTTTGCCGCACAACAAAGATGATACTCAGAGCCAGGCCTCTGATCCCAAGCTTCCCAAGGACAGCATGCCCACTTCAGCCAGGTGAGTTTGAGTGGCATTGCAAAAAAGATTATCCAGGAAGTATTTTGGATGTCCCTGGAATACCTCTGCTCACCTCCTGCTGCCAGCTCAGAACAAAACTGCGCAATTCTCCTGCAAATCCTACCCATCCCTTGCAGACATACGAGCATCCCATCTGGTAGTGGCTTCAGTCACTTCAGATTTCCATCACCGACAGTGACTCTGACATTGGTTCAGACT